TTCATTTCTCCCTGTAGTTCTATTTTTCTTTCTGCATTTTGAGGCTATTTTATTGGGCACATACTGTACAAGTTAGAATTGCTATCGCTTCCTGGTAGAATTGAAAGCTTTTAAAGTAATATGGGAGATTAATTGCAAAAATTGCCTGAATTTTCCACTCACAAAAATTGCCTGAATTTTCCACTCACTCCTCCCCATAGCCACACCTTTTGCAATGTGACTTGGCAGCTCCTCCCAGAATCTCAGCTGGATTTTAACTCACCTTGGCCTAAAGAAAATGACAGAAGTGATGAAGTCCTGAGTCTGAGCCTAAAGAAACCTTGAATGCTTCCACGTTCTCTTTGGGATCCCTGCTTCTGCCATGAGAACAGGCCTGGGCTAGTTTGATGGAAGATGAGAAGCCACATGGAAAAGAGCTGAAGTCTTCCCTGACCTATGAACAGCCAGCAGACCCCAAACATGTAAGCCCAGCCAGGAGCAGCATGGCAACCTACCTGACCTGCAGCCACCCAAAGATGTAGATGTGAGCTCACCTGGGACTAGAACTGTCCTGATGACCTGGAGGCTCATGAGTAATAATAGCTACTTATTATATTAAGCTTCTGAATTTTAGAGTGGTTTGTTATACAGCATTGTGACAATAAATAATGGATAACAACTAGCGATTTTCCCATTGATAATGCCTCCTTTTTTGGAGTCTCAGCCTCCAAAAGACTTTCCTGACTAGGCAATCTGAAGCAGCTTCCCAGTCTCTATCATAACACTGGTGTATTATTAACACGTACCACTCTCCCAAATTATCTCTCTTTTTTTTTTTTTTTTTTTTTCCCAAATAAGGTCTCCCTCTGTCACCTAGGCTGGAGTGCAGTGGCACGATCTCCAATCACTGCAACCTCCACCTCCAGGGTTCAAGCCATCCTCCCACCTCAGCCTCCCAAGTAGCTGGGACTACATGTCCATGCTACCATGCCCCGCTAATTTTTGTATTTTTGGTAGAGATAGGGTTTCACCTTGTTGCCCAGGCTGGTCTTGCACTGACGGGCTCAAGCCATCCACCTACTTTGGCCTCCCAAAGTCCTGGGATTACAGGCTTGAGCCACTGCCCCTGCCTATATCTTGAAAGGAAAGTGGCAAAACTATCAACAGTTTCACATAACCTGGTAGCTCTAATAAAGTGTTAACTGGGATATCACAATGGGGAAGGGAGTACTTCCTGGAGACCTTTTGTTCTTGCCTTGGATAGGTTTTCATTCTGAAAATTGAGAAAATGAGTACTCTTATAATCTCAGTTATCTTATTTCCCAGGATAATTGGAATATGTTCTCTAGAGATAGTGACATCCTTTGGGGAATACACTGCTGTCTAGGTAGATGAAACACAAAGCAAAGGAAATTCTCTAGGAGTACATTGCCTGACAAGGACTGGTATGAGCAACCTTGAAGAAGTCTGGCTTCCTGACCCTTGTCCTGGAAACAACCCTTTTTTATCCAGGATCCTCACCCCTAATACTGTGTGATAACCCCCTAGTCAAAGACCCTGAAGGGTCCTCCTATCACTAAGACTAAAATCCAAAATTCTTACGGCAAAAAGGCCCTGCATGATCTGGCCCCTGAGTACTCCTATCCCTTCCCACCTTGCCAGGCCTGCCTCTGTCTACTACTAGAACATGCCAAACCAGCTCCTGCCTGCGGGCCCTCTTCATACTTGTTCCCTCTGTTAGTCCTCAAGAGACATACATGACTCATTCCCTCCATGCTTTCAGGTCTTTGCTCAAGTGTCTCTCTCAGTAGTGTCTTCCCTGGCCATGCTATTTAAGGTCATCCAGCACCCTGTATCTCCTTTTCCCTGCTGCTTTTCTCCATAACATAGTCATTACATTTGCTTTGTGTATGAACTTGGTTATTATCTATTTCCTTTCACAAGAATATAAACTCCATGAGGACGCGGATGACTGACTTGTTCACTTTATATACCAAGCACACCTCAAATAGTGCCTCACACACAGAAAGTGTGCTATAAATATTTGTTGACGGAATACCTGAATTAATTCAAGCTTTAAATTGTGTTCAGCAGCCGGGCACAGTGGCTCATGCCTGTAATCCCAGCACCTTGGGAGGCCGAGGCAGGCGGATCACGAGGTCAGGTGATTGAGACCATCCTGGCTAACACGGTGAAACCCCATCTCTACTAAAAATACAAAAAAAATTACCTGGTCGTGGTGGCGGGTGCCTGTAGTCCCAGCTACTCGGGAGGCTGAGGCAGGAGAATGGCGTGAACCTGGGAGGCAGAGCTTGCAATGAGCTGAGATCGCGCCACTGGAATCCAACCTGGGTGACAGGGAGACTCCGTCTCAAAAAAAAAAAAAAAAAATTGTGTACAGCTTAACACATGTAATCTCAGCACTTTGGGAGGTGAAAGCGGGCGGCGAATCATCTGAAGTCAGGAGTTCAAGACCAGCCTGGCCAACATGATGAAACCCCATCTCTACTAAAATACAAAAATTAGCCAGGCAGGTGGCAGGCACCTGTAATCCCAGCTACTTGGGAGACTGAGGCAGGAGGATCACTTGAACCCAGGAGGTGGAGGTTGCAGTGAGCCAAGATCATACCATTGCACTCCAGCCTGAATAACAAGAGCAAAACTTTTTCTCAAAAATAATAATAAATAGTGTTCAGCTCTTCTATATCTTTAATAATTTTTTTTGTCTGCTTGACCTATAAATAATGGCAAAACATGCATGAAAACCTCCCACTATAAGAGTAATCTTTTTCATTTCTCCCTGTAGTTCTATTTTTCTTTCTGCATTTTGAGGCTATTTTATTGGGCACATACTGTACAAGTTAGAATTGCTATCGCTTCCTGGTAGAATTGAAAGCTTTTAAAGTAATATGGGAGATTAATTGCAAAAATTGCCTGAATTTTCCACTCACAAAAATTGCCTGAATTTTCCACTCACTCCTCCCCATAGCCACACCTTTTGCAATGTGACTTGGCAGCTCCTCCCAGAATCTCAGCTGGATTTTAACTCACCTTGGCCTAAAGAAAATGACAGAAGTGATGAAGTCCTGAGTCTGAGCCTAAAGAAACCTTGAATGCTTCCACGTTCTCTTTGGGATCCCTGCTTCTGCCATGAGAACAGGCCTGGGCTAGTTTGATGGAAGATGAGAAGCCACATGGAAAAGAGCTGAAGTCTTCCCTGACCTATGAACAGCCAGCAGACCCCAAACATGTAAGCCCAGCCAGGAGCAGCATGGCAACCTACCTGACCTGCAGCCACCCAAAGATGTAGATGTGAGCTCACCTGGGACTAGAACTGTCCTGATGACCTGGAGGCTCATGAGTAATAATAGCTACTTATTATATTAAGCTTCTGAATTTTAGAGTGGTTTGTTATACAGCATTGTGACAATAAATAATGGATAACAACTAGCGATTTTCCCATTGATAATGCCTCCTTTTTTGGAGTCTCAGCCTCCAAAAGACTTTCCTGACTAGGCAATCTGAAGCAGCTTCCCAGTCTCTATCATAACACTGGTGTATTATTAACACGTACCACTCTCCCAAATTATCTCTCTTTTTTTTTTTTTTTTTTTTCCCAAATAAGGTCTCCCTCTGTCACCTAGGCTGGAGTGCAGTGGTGCAGACACACATGGCTCACTGCAGCCTTGTCCTCCCAGGCTCAGCCTCCTGAGTAACTGGAACTACAGGCAAGAGTGACACCTAGGGAAAAATTCAAAAAATGAATATTTGATTTTTTTTAGAGATGGGGGTCTCACTACATTGCCCAGGCTGGTCTTGAACTTCTGACCTCAAGCAATCCTCCAGGGCCTCCTAAAGTGCTGGGATTGCAGTTGTGAGCCACCACACCCAGCCTGCGTACTTCTTTGTTTGTTTGTTTTTGAGACAGGGTCTTACTCTGTCACCCAGACTGGAGTGCAGTGGCACAATCTCGGCTTACCGCAACCTCTGCTTCCCAGGCTCAAGTGATTTTCCTGCCTCAGTCTCCTGAGTAGCTGGGATTACAGGCTTGTGCCACTACTGCCCGGCTAATTTTCTATTTTTAGTAGAGACGGTTTCACCACGTTGGCCAGGCTGTTCTTGAACTCCTGACTTCAAATGGTCCACCGCCTCGGCCCCCCAACGTGCTGGGATTGCAGGCGTGAGCCACCGCACCCAGTCTAGTTCTGTATTGTCTATCTTCCACGTTAGAATGTCAACTGTGTAAAGGCAGAGATCTTGTCCATTCTGCTCTCTGCTGTATGCTCAGCACCAAGAACAGGCTGTACAGTCCAATGTGGTAGCCATGAGCTGTGCATTCACTGAGCACTTGAAATATAGTTAGTCCAAGTTGAGAAATCCTGACAATGTAGAACACACACTGGATTTCAAAGACTTCCTACAAAAAAAGAAAATAAAGTATCTCAATACTTTTTACACTGATTAAATGTTGAAATGATTTTTTATATCAAGTTAAATAGATTATGTTATTAAAGTTAATATCGCCTGTTTCTTTTTACCTTTATTTAATGTGGGTACTAGAAAAAATTAAGTTACCTTTGTGACTTGCATTATATTTATATTGGCAGCCCTGATATCAAAGTTCAGTAGCTGGGCACAGTGGCTTATACCTATAATCCCAGCACTTTGGGAGCCCGAGGCGGGATGGATGGTTTGAGCCCATGAGTTCAAGGCCAGCCTGGGCAAGATGGTGAGACCCTGTCTCTACAAAAATTAACCAGGTGTGTTGGCACATGCCTGTAGTCTTAGCTACTCAGGAGGCTGAGGTGGGAAGGTCACTTGAGCCTGGGAGATTGAGGCTACAGAGAGCCATGATTGTGCCACTGCACTCTAACCCGGGTGAGAGAGCAAGCCCCTGTCTCAAAAAAAAAAAAAAAAAAAAAAAGGTTGAGTAAATATTTGTTGAAGAAAAATATTAAAAATGAATTTACCAAAAGAAATGAGCTGTCAGGCTATGAAAAGATATGGAACCTTAAATGTATATTGCTGAGTGAAAAAAGCCAGTCTGAAAAGACTACATACTATATGATTCCAATTACTGTATATGATGTCTGGAAAAGGCAAAACAATGGAGAGAGTAAAAAGATCAGTGTTGCTAGGGGTTCAGGAGGAGGGGAGAAGAGAGATGGATACCTGAAGCACAGGGGACTTAGGGAGTGGTGAAATAATTCTGTAATACTCCAGGCACGCTGGCTCATGCCTATAATCCCAGCACTTTGGGAAGCCAAAGTGGGCAGATCACCTGAGGTCAGGAGTTCAAGACCAGCCTGGCCAACATAGTGAAACTCCGTCTCTACTAAAAATACAAAAATTAGTCAGGCATGGTGGTGCATACCTGTAGTCCCAGCTACTTGGGAGGCTGAGGCAGGAGAATTGCTTGAATCTGGGAGTTGGAGGTTGCAGTGAGCTGAGGTCACACCACTGCATTCCAGTCTGCGCAACAGAGTGAGACTCCATCTCAAAAAAAAAAAAAAAAAAAACCTGTAATACTGTATCAGTGGATGCATGGCATTATAGATTTGTCAAAACCCATAGAACTATATAACACAAAGAATGAATTCTGATGTAAATTAAGTTAATGATGTATCAGTATTTTAACAAATATACCACACTAATGCAAGATTTTAATAATAGAGGAAACTGGCCGGGCATGGTGGCGCACACCTGTAATCCCAGCACTTTGGGAAGCTAAGGCGGGCAGATTACCTGAGGTCAGAAGTTCGAGACCAGCCTGGTCAACATGGCGAAATCCCACCTCTATTAAAAATGCAAAAAATTAGCTGGGCATGGTAGCACACGGCTGTAGTCCCAGCTACTTGGGAGGTTGAGTCAGGAGAATCGCTTGAACCTGGAAGATGGAGGTTGCAGTGAACCAAGATAGTGCCACTGCACTCCAGCGTGGGCGACAGAGCAAGACTTCGTCTCAAAATAAATAAATAAATAATAGAGGAAACTGGGGAAGGGGATTGGGGAGGGAGGTATATGGGAACTCTGTACTATGTGCACAGTTTTTCTACGAGCCTAAAATTGTTCTAAAAAAGTCTATTTTTTAAAAATGAATGTACTCTTCTTGCACAGTCCCCAGAATGATATTTCTAAAACATACATTTGAGAAATCACTTTCCTCTCCTAAAAGAAGAAAATATTTTGCTCCCCACTATCTATGGGAGATAAGTTCATATCCCATAGGCATAAGTAATTTGCATTGGCATTTATGGTTATGTTCTACCCTGCCATACCTCTCTTTCCCTCCTCTCCTGACTAGCTGGGCCAGACTACTTGACTCCATGCCCAGCTCATGCAGTCCTCTCTGTCTAGAACTTCCCTCTCCCTCTGCACTTGTGGAGCCTCACACTTATGGAGTCATAGACTCTCCCATAAATGAATCAGTCATCCTCTAGTCCTTGGTTCCACCAGTTCTATGTTAAAAGAAGATACGGGCCAGGTGCCATAGCTCATGCCTGTAACCCAGCACTTTGGGAGGCCAAGTTGGGAGGATCGCTTCAGGCCAGGAGTTCCAGACCAGCCTGGTCAACATAGTGAGACCCTGTCTCTAGTAAAAATTTTAAAATTAGAGCCAGGTGCGGTGGCTCACACCTGTAATCCCAGCACTTTGGGAAGCCGAGGCGGGCGGATCACGAGGTCAGGAGATTGAGACCATCCTGGCTAACACGGTGAAACCCCATCTCTACTAAAACTACAAAAACAAAATTAGCTAGGTGTGGTAGTGGGTGCCTGTAGTCCCAGCTACTCAGGAGGCTGAGACAGGAGAATGGCACGAACCCGGGAGGCGGAGCTTGCAGTGAGCCAAGATCCCTCCACCACATTCCAGCCTGGGCGATAGAGTGAGACTGTCTCAAAAAAAAAAAAAAATTAGGCCGGGTGCGGTGGCCCATGCCTGTAATCCCACACTTTGGGAGGCAGAAGTAGGTGGATCATTTGAGGTCAGGAGTTCAAGACCAGACTGACCAACATGATAAAACCCCGTCTCTACAAAAATGCAAAAAAATTAGCCGGGTATGGTAGTGCGCACCTGTAGTCCTAGCTACTTAGAGGGCTGAGGCAGGAGAATCGCTTGAACCTGGGAGACAGAGGTTGCAGTGAGCCGAGATTGTGACACTGCACTTCAGCCTGGGCAACAGAGTAAGACTGTCTCAAAAAAAAACAAAACAAAAAAAGTAGCCAGGTGTGGTGGCACGTTCCTATAGTCCCGGTGAGGCAGGAAAATAGGGTCTGGAGGCAGGGAACATAAGGCCAATTCACACTTTAGCTATAACAGGAAATATCCTCTCCATAGGGCATTCGCCGTAAATGACTTTGTAACTTTACTTCATCCTCTCCATTTACATAGGGTGTACCCGAAGTAACCAGTGGAATCCTCTAAGGAGTATATAAACTCCCAGAAATTCTGTAATGGGGTCTTTGAGCCTCATGCTCTGGCCGACTCCCACACTGTGGAGTATACTTTGATTATCAATAAATCCTTTCATTCCTTCCTTGCTGTGTTAGTGCTTTTTGTCCAATTCTTTGTTCAAGATACCAAGAACATGGACACTCTACCGTTAACATGTTTCTGTTAACACCAGCTACTTGGGACGCTGAAGTGGGAGATCACTTGAGCCCAGGAGTTCAAGGTTACAGTGAGCTATGATTGTGCCACTGCACTCCAGCCTGGGCAACAGAGCTAGACCCTATCTATCTCAAAAAAGGTTTAAAAAAACAAAAGAAGATACAGCAAAGCAGACATTTGTTTTTGTCATTTTTGTTCTTCTTTCTAGTAAGAATTTAGAAGATGGATATGGGCCAGGTGCAGTGACTCACACCTGTAATCCCAACACTTTGGGAGGCCAAGGTGGGCGGATCACCTGAGGTCAGGAGTTTGAGACCAGCCTGGCCAAGGTGGCAAAACCTCATCTCTACTAAAAATACAAAAATTAGCTGGGTGTGGTGGCTGGCGCCTGTAATTCCAGATACTCGGGAGGCTGAGGCAGGAGAATCGCTTGAACCTGGGAGGTGGAGGTTGCAGTGAGCGGAGATGGCTCCGCTGTACTCCAGCCTGGGCAACAAGAGTGAAACTCCATCTCAAAAAAAAAAAAGGGGGGGTCTATATATTAATCTTGGAAATATTGAAAAAGAATTCTGATAGCCACGAGTGGGTGAGGAATTAATAACCTTAAGATGGAAACAGTGGAAGCAGAACAAGGCTATTGAATGTCAGGGAAAATCTACTTGGGCTCACTTCCTAGGTGAGAGGCAGCAGGACACCCAGTTAGGAGCAAGATCCCAGCAGTGAGGCCCTGCTCCCTGACTGCTTGCCCACAATGACGTCAGGAGAGAGGCCTCTGGGGTGTCACCTGCTCTGAAAGCCAATCTGCCTCTGAATGCTGCTTGCCCAAGCGAGGATGCCATGGCCATACAGTTTCAGGTATTTAACTTCCAGGGCATGACTGAGTGGAGGTGGAGGTGGAAGCAACATTACCGATGTCATTGTCTCTACCTCCATATTGTGGAGCCTTGGGAGAGAGTGTGAGAACAAAGGCAAGCTCCAGCTACTCAGGAGGCTGAGACAGGAGGATCTCGTAAGCCAAGTTCAAGGTTGCAGTGAGCTATGATCATGCCACTGCACTCCCACCTGAGTTACAGAGCAAGGCCCTGTCTCTAAAAGAACTTTTTTAAATAAAAGAACAACGGCAAGCAGCCTCCTAGGTGCTGAGTTGCTCTACTCTTACCTAGGGAGAAGGCTACCATTTACCGAGTCCTATTTTTTGCCAGCCACAGTGCAGATTTCCCTGCATTGTAATTTACATTGTTATTTACATTGTCATTGATGTCTCATCTCCTTATCAGAGCTGCATTATCCTACCACTTCTCTGATAGGACTCTTAAGGAATACTGTACAATGGTAAATGACTTGCCTAAGGTCACCCAACTGATTAATGTGACAGAGCCAGGGTTTTAAACCAAAACTATCTTTCTCCAAAGGTTCCAGGCATGAAGCATGTGCTGTCCTGGGCCCTGAATATCAAGCCAGTAGAGGAACCCCATCCTTCTGTTGTCATTTCAAGCCAGAGGCTGAAGCCAGGAGGAGTGAGGATCAAGATCAATAACTCAAAGCTGTTTAGAAGAAGCAGCCAAATTCAAGGAGGAGTGAGGAATTGTAGGTGGAGAAGCTTTGACCTGGGGAGAGATCAGGTATTTGTGAGCAGCAAAGGTAAGGTGGCAGACAGAAATCTAACAGGCCAGGTTGTTGAAGTCAAGGTCACAGTGTCTTGTCTTAACCAGCCCATGTCTCTTCTTGCCCTGCCCACTTGGTTCTTGACAGCATCCAGATGTATTGCTGGGGCTTGAAGGGAGCTCCTCCACCATAAGCGGCTCTTCCTCCCTTCACAGCGTCCTGTCCCACGACTGGGTCATGGGCTCTGCAACTGGCCTTTGGGGCAAAGAAAAGGGAGGAATTGTGCTTTCTGAGAAGTGCTCAGGAATAACCTGGGTGGAGGTTTCTTCGTGTGAGGAACTCCAGCCTCTGAGTGGGCAGAGGAGCTCTTCGGCTTGCCCCCATTCCTCTGATGCGCCCCTAACCTGGCCCATAGTTTGGGTCGTTTGGGCAGCCCTGCATATTCCCTGAGCTGAGGGGCCTCTCCCAGGAGAGTGGGAAAGAATTCTGTCCTTTGTGTAACTCGCTTCATTATGTATGAGTGTTGGCTCCCTTGGTTGAAAAATGATCACTCTATTGGGTTCTCCCAGCTTGAGGCGAAAGCTTTTGGAAGCTCAGGCAGCTTGGAGGAGTTCGTGGATTAGAGAATGTTGAAGTTGGAGAACTATAGCGGGGCCTAAAAAATCTTCCAGAATCAAGACGGTGCCTGACGCCCTACCTAGCCCCTCTCCAGCACGGGAACCCCGGGCCCTTGGCAATCATGTCTGCGCAGCTTGGGCCCCACATCCAACAGGGGAGCACGCCCCAATTTACTCTCACCCCACCAGTCGCGTGGAGGGCAGGTGACCTGCCAGTTCTCGAAAGAAGCCAGATGACTGACTTTGGTCGCCTCATCACAGGTTAATCCATAAGAAGAGCTTGGAACAGCGCCCGGCAGAGTCTCAGCGCGCCCAAAGTGTGTGCGGGTATGATTACTATCGCCAGCAGCTGAGCTGGGAAAAGGATCTGACTAGAAAATTTTGGCAATAACTCGACAAACTATCGAATGTGGACAGTGAAACGCATTCCAAGGTTTCTAAAAAGCTCCCGTTGTGACACCCTCTGTGTCCTCCCCAGGCCCGGCGGCCTCCGGGCCAGCGACACCCGACCTCGCGTGGTCCGGGCTACCCAAGGACGTCCCGAGGCGTGGCGGAGACTTGGCCGCTGAGTGCAGGCCGGGCTGCCGCCCAGCAGGACCTGGGCGAGGCCTGCGGCCCGGGCGGGGCCTGGGTTGGGCTCTGTCAGAGCTGCGCAGCAGCCACCCCGCCCGGGCCTCCCTGCCCCCACCTGTGACCTGGATTCCGCGGTTCCTGTGCGAGGGCGGAGGGTGTCAAGGACAAGAGCAAATAAAGGTCTGTGGCCCGGAGAAACTTCAACTCCTGGAATTGGTGCACCAAGGATACTTTAAGGCGAGGGGTCGGGGTGTGTAATAATTTACCCGGTTCATCTGTGTACACTGGCCTCTCTAGCTTACACCAACACATGTTTACCGGGTTCGCACCCGAGTCAGAGGCGGTTAGTTTAGTAATCCCACAGCGGCTTCTGCCTGCTTTCTAGGAGACGGCTCTGGGCCCAGGGGAGGCTTCAAAACATTAACATTTCAAATAAATGCCCCCGGAGTTGGGGGCGGGTGCCTCGGACTGCTTCTCCCCCAGAACTCCCCTTTGCACTGGGGTCACCCCGGGCATTACCCTTGGGGCCGCCTGGGCTGCCTTTGTTGCGCAGGGGACCTTCCCGGCCATGTCAGTGGCCCGGCTGCTCTGCGGGACGGTCCTGGCTCCGAAAGCGGGCGCGGGGGCGCTGAGCCAGGGCCCGCTCTAGATCGCGTCGGCTCCGCTGTCAGTTATCATCCGCGTAGTGCTGGGGCCTCCCGGGACCCAGGAGCCGCGGCAGATTAGGCCACCCGCCCCAACCTGGGTTTTGAGCTACTTATCTGAGGCTTGTGAGTCCAAAAGGGCTTAGCAACCGCAGCCGTGGCAGCCCCAAGGACATGAACACCCGCACCTCCGAGCCTTCCCCTGTGGAGTACCTTGGAGGTGAGGCCTGCGCAGCTCCAGGAAGAGGGTGTGGGCGCAAACCCGCGGTGGGGAGCTAGGCCTGGCGGCTACAGGGTTCCTGCCATCCTCTTTGCGCCCTTTCTCCCATGCTCGCAGTGTTCATCCAGCTGAAACTGATTAACACAGCAAACCCAACACCCACAGACCTGTGGCCCCTTCTTTCCCTTCTCGCCTCCTCGGCAACCCTTGAAAGCACTCAAGTAGGAACTTGTAATTGCAATTATAATTAACTGCGTTCGACTTGGGCTTCCCCAGGTCTTGGCTTCCGTTAGGACAGTGTCCCAGGTCTCCCTGTCCCAGGCAGCCCCAGTTCCCAGGAAATAGTTGAATGAATGGATGTTTGCATCCCCTACCCAACCTCAGACTGTGTACTCCTTTCTCTCCAAGAACAGAGATTCTACTGGAAGGCCCCAGGGATGGTGGAAAGGGCACTAGGCGTGAGGTTTGGTAAAATGAGGACAATACCGGTACCCCTCCATCTCTCCTTCCCAGAAAGGGATTTAGGAGGCACAAGTAAGATAGCTACACGACTCCTGGCCAGTTGACAAGCAGAAGGTCCCAGCAATCTGGGTTTTATCTCCTGTTGTCCAGAAGCCACAGTGGGTCTCCTGATGCAGAGCCTGCCTGGCAGTGTTGTTACAGTGGGTAGCAGCAGACATGAGCAGGTCAGGAAAGCCCCCACCTCCAAACCCAGGAATATCAGAAGACCATCAGATGATGGTCAGGAGGCTGTTAAGCTGTCTAAAATAGTAATTGATCACACCCAGCGCCAGAGAAAGGCAGTCTCCCCAACAGATAGAAAAACCCAAAGCTGGTGATCAGCTTCCCAATTAGATCTCAGGAGTTGGGTGAGTAGGCTCAAGCATGTGACCTAAGAGACAAAATGGTGGAGTTTAACTGGCATATGAGTTCGCTCTGGGAATGTAGCAGGATCAGCCACAGACAAAACTCCTCAGACAATGAGTTAAAGAAGGAAGGGGTTTATTCGGCCGGGAGCATAGGCAAGCCTCCTGTCTCAAGAGCCGAGTTCCCTGAGTGAGCAATTCTTGTCCCTTTTAAGGGCTCACAACTCTAAGGGGGTGTGCGTGAGAGGGTTGCGATTGACTGAGCAAGCAGTGGGTACGTGACTGGGGGCTGCATGCACTGGTAATTAGATCAGAACAAAACAGGATAGGGATTTTCACAGTACTTTTCCATACAATGTCTATAATCTATAGATAACATAACCAATTAGGTCAGGGGTCGATCTTTAACTATCAGGCCCAGGGTGTGGTGCCAGACTGTCTGCTTGTGGATTTCATTTCTGCCTTTTAGTTTGTACTTTTTCTCTCTTTGGAGGCAGAAATTGGGCATAAGACAATATGAGGGGTGGTCTCCTCCCTTATTCCCCCCTTTGAGACTCTCACTCAATAGTGGGAGTTCTCACTTTCATTTTTACTACCTATGTCTTCTTGCAAGACAGATCAATAGTGATTTATATAGCACACTTGTGCTGAAGCATTTTGGTGAACTAAGGTAGCAATGAAGCTTTTTATCATTTGAAGAAGTACAGGTAGCAAACAAGGAACGGTAAGTAGTTTCCTATTACTATTATAACTCTTATAAGAGTTTTAAATCCTCCTAGCGCTGGGAACCATTTTCTAAACATGGCCCCAGGATCAAATCCATGCCACACTTGCACAGGCACATGTGCCAGTTTTGTCATATCTTTATGTCTTTAGCTACTTACCCTTGATTATCTACATGTAGGCAGCAATTAGTAAAGTTAAATTTCCTACAGACCTCTCCTTCAGCTGCTGGCAAGTAGTCGAGAGCTAATCTGTTTTGATAGAGAGCATTTCTCATCTGAGTTTCTTGCCAGGCCAGAATAGTCAAGGCTCTGCCAGTTTTATTAGTGATTATTTTTAAGACAGCTTGTAACTGTGTGATTCGGTTGATCATGTAAATGGAGGTCTGGTATCACTACGAGCCATCCTGTGCCTGAGTAGCAGGCCTATAATATTGTATGATTCTCTCAGGGGGCCTTTTATCATTTTTTCAATTTCCTATAGCTATGCTTCTCTTTTCGCGGGAAGCATAGACAGGGAAGCCCAGGAGTTTGCCTGTTTTTATGGGCAGTAGGAAGAAAGATGGTTTAATAGTGCCAATAACACAACTACTTGTCCACTGGTCAGGCAGCTTAGCATAGGCTCTATGTCCACATATCCAGTATAGCCCAGTGGGGGC